CGCCCCGCCACGGATACGGACTCAATTCAAAAGGACTTTATTTTTTCCTTCTTTATTCTAGTCCATTTCCCCCACACTGCCACCAGAGTAATAGTTCTCAAATGTAAATATCCTCATGTCACTGCCCAGTTAAAATCCTTTAGGGGTTTTAGTGTCTTCATGATTAAAAACAAAGTTCTTGAGTGTGACTAGCAGGTCCTGTGTGATTACTTGTCTGCTTGTCCAGCATCATTTCTAGACACTCCCTCCCTCTTGCCACTGTGGGATCCAGAAAACTGCAATATTTCTTATTTCCAGAACATGACATGTGTTCTTCTACCTCTTTGCATTAGCATGCTTCCTTTCCCTGGAACATTCTTCTGTCTCTTCTCCTTACCTGGCTAACTCCTGCTCACCTAAGAAGCTAAGGTCAGGAGCTTCTTGCCCTTACCCACTTCTGAATTGACTGCCCATCCTGTGTACTCCAGTTGCCCTCCCTGGTCACCTCCCTCGTGGCATGTATCACCTATGGAAGCAGTCTTTTTGTGTCCTTTGTCACCTTCACCAAATAGTGAATTCAGTCCTCAAGAGCAGAGACCCAGTCTTATTTATTTTTTCACCTAGAGCTTGGAACAGTCCCTGGATGTCATAGGTGATCAGCGACTATTGTTGGAGTGAGAAACAGACAGAGGGCACAGGAAGGGGCGGTGGCGGCACGGTGGAGAGATTTGCTTTTAGAACTGTGCTACGGCTGCAACACAGACCTCGTGCACGAAATTGCTTCCATTCCCTCACTCGGAGGGGTGACTCACGGCAGCAGCGGAGATATAGCTATTCCCGTGGGAACGAAGACACAGTGAAGTCTGAAAAGCTACAGATGTCTGAATCAATAAGCGATGAGCATCTGCCATTTCTAGGCAGAGAACTTTAGAGGGAACCCCAGAGAATTTGCCTTACATGGTCCATACTTTAGGACAAAGTTTGCTGTGTTTGTGCTCTTGCTTCATCCATAGCAGTTTTGAAAAATATCCTCAAATGATCGAATACAGGGGAGCGAGACATGAAGTGGAGCTCTTCATCTGGAAAACATTGAATGAGCAGAGTGACAAAATAGATGGTAATGAAACAAACAGGGCAATGAGATAAATGAAAAATAGTCATGGAAACTTCACATTTACAAACCCACACAATCTGAAATATTAGTCAGGATGTTCTCACATCAAAGAGGAATTAGGGAAGTATGGACCAATATTTTCTCAAGTGACCTTCTCCAGCGTGCATGTAATTCCAAGATGACAAATGAGCATTTTGCTTTGATAAATGATGAGCGAGGATGGGGACTGACTTGCCCCCAAAAAGGTACAGATAAAAATGTTGGCCCTAGATAGTGGGGACTTGGGATACAGTTCATTGGGGTGATACAGTTAACTAATAACATGATTATTAGTTAATCATGTTATTAGTTAACTGAAACTTTGAGGAGTCAGAAATTATGATTCTAAATATCCTGTAGTATTATAAAAATACATATGAATATTACTTGGCCACAAAAAAGAATGAAATCTTACCATTTGCGATGATATGGATGGACCTACAGGGTATTATGCTAAGTGAAATAAGACAGAGAAAGACAAATACCATATAATTTCACTTATATGTGGAATTTAAAAAACAAAACAAACAAAACAGAAGTAGACTCATAGTCAGAATATTTTGATGGTTGCCAGAAGGAGGGGGTTGGGAAAGAATTAAGAAGTACAAACTGGTAGTCACAAAATAGTCGTGGAGATGTAAAGTACAGCATAGGGAGTATAGTCACTAATATCATAATAACTGTGTGGTGTCATGTGGGTACGAGGCTTATCGGGGATCGCTTGTAAGGTATATAAATGTATAACCGCTATGCTGTATACCTGAAACTAATACAATATCAAATTTTAACTGTAATTGAAAATAGTAAATACGTGTTTTTTAATTTCTAATGTAATTCAAATATAAATCAATATTTAATCTTAAAAACAATCCCACAAAGTCATGTCTGTGGAACTGGGACCCAACTTCTGTCAACTCTAGTAGGGTGTTCATTCTGACCTCCTTTAATCTCTACTCTTAGACAAGGTAATTGAGTGCAAGATCACACAGGGAGCGAAAGTGGCGACTGTGAGACAGGGGCCCAGATCTTCTAGTTCCAAACCTAGAACTCCGTGGCTTTCTTAAAAACTCCACGGAAAAACTCCTACCCTCCAAAAGAAGTTCTGTTCTGAAAGTAGAATAACATTCTATCGCATTCGAAAACATTTCTTTAAAAATAGAATTGCACACACAGATAACTTTAGTACCAGAAATTTAACATCGATTTTGCACATACGTTCCCTCTACTCTAAAAGATATCAAATATTTTAATTATCTATGTTTTCTTTTATTCTTCATCAATATGAATACATGATTCTAATAATAGTTTCTTAAATATAATTTTAGGTAATATAAATAATTTAGATATATCAATTTGAATATACTTTTAAACACAATAAGCATATGTTCTGATTTTTTGAAAAATTTTCTTAATTTTTATAATAATGCTACAAATAAAAGAAATACTCAGAGTTTCTTAAAATGCAATAAATTTCCCAGTTTAAAATTACATACTAAGAAGCAATAGTATGGCAGATATCTTTTTTAAAATCAACATATAAAGCATTGGTATTTTTGTAGCAGAATGAGCTTTTTATGGTCAAAAGTAAACATTATATTTAGAAACATACTTTTGATGTAAAGGAATATTTTCCTCTCACCTTAATAAGACATTTATAATAATAATAGGAGCAACTTCTAAAGAACCTTTTATTTGAGGAACTCAGAAAACTTTCAAACTGTAGACCATTCCTAGTTAATACCTTTAATGAGGACAAAGTAGGAGTAGAAATGCTGATTTATAGGAATGGAGATACTTAGGCTTCACCAAGTGCTCTCCTCTGCGAACAAGTCCCTGATGAAACCAATCACAAACAAATTCCCCATCAAACCCCACTTTAGTGTCATTAGCTAAGAATTGGAAGTCACAGTACTTTCTCGTAAGAATTCATTTGGAAATTAAGTTCTCATCCAGACCAGCTGTAGGCTTAACCAGGCAGAACTCCTGGCATCACATGCTTGCTTCTTGGTTTGAGAATTGAGAATTACGCTCTAGATAAAAGAGTTTCCAGGATTATAGAGAAATTGTTTCCAATTCTTTATAACTCTTTTTGGCTGTCTTTTAGCAACTTGAAGATACAGGCAAAATAATCCACTTTATTCTTCGTTAAGTAAATTAGAAAACCTTACAAACTATTAAAGGATCTAATAAATAAATAAATAGGTAGTTCAATATGCTATAAAGATGAGGAGACTGAGGCCCAGAGAGATTAAGGGCTGGATCAAGCAAGATATAGGTCCTGGATCAGAAGTCAGCCTTCCTGTGAGTGAGAAGAACCCAAGTTCAGTTCTCTTTCCATGAAGGTGGGGACAAGAATGATGTCTGAACATCTGTTATAAAAACAACAAACAACATGATTGTTTTATTTTCAACCCTGTCCTTTCTTCTTTTCTGCAGTTTCGTTGTGTTGAAGATCTTCAGACAATTCAAGTGATCAAGATTTTAAGATATGAAAAGAAAATGGCCAAAATGTGTTTTTTAATGATATTCACCTTCCTGATTTCTTGGATGCCTTATATTGTGATCTGCTTCTTGGTGGTTAATGGTTATGGGCACCTGGTCACTCCAACAGTGTCTATTGTTTCATATCTCTTTGCTAAATCAAGCACTGTATATAATCCGGTTATTTATATCTTCATGATCAGAAAGGTGAGCTTTGTAATTAACCAATTATTTTCACTCTGGGGGTGCATTGTTTGAAAATACAATACTTTTGCAGAAATAATCCAGAGAAGCTCCAATGATAAAAAGCAAAATCAAGAATTTTACAGGAAAGTAAAGGCTTCAGGAAAAAATATAGGATATTCCCAAAGAAAAGGATAACAATTCTCAGATCTACCATTAAAGGTTCATGCTTGTTAACTAAAATTCTGTTAAAATTATTATTTAATTCATCATAAAACATTTTATGTCTAGTAATAATAAAAGCCACAAAGTTAATAATACAGGTATATCTCGGAGATATTGCAGGTTCTGTTCCAGACCACGGCAAATAAAGCAAGAATATACATTTAAAATTCTCATTGTACTATGCAAGTTATACCTACTCTCTTTACAAAACTCCATGAAATAGGTGCTAATACTATTCCTCACTTTATTTATGGATTACAAAATATGTTCAGAGAAGTTAAATAACTTGCCTGATCCAGGAACTGTTGATGTCTAGATTTGAACCTTGTTTGCCTGAATCCCAAAAGTCCATGCTCCATAACTCCCCACTTGGGGTCATAGGTACCATTAACAATTAGTGGGACTGTTGTTCACATGCCATGGCCAAGGTGTAGCTAAGATTAATTTGGCTCAAGAAACTTCCTCAAGATCTGTTAGGAAGTTTATCTGTTTCTGGAGGAGCAAGATTTTGACTTGACGATTGTCAGGCATGAATGGAAGAGCCTCATCGTGACCAATATGAAGCTGAGCCTCTAAGTTACAAAGTTTAAGAATCAGAAAATTTAAGTTATGAATGATGATTAATTATAATATTGGAATTTTAAAGTACCAGATAATACTAATAACAGATAAAATAACTACTCTGACTTTTACTGCTCAGGGGTTTGGAAGAAGAGGGCACTTCTATATTAACCTTAAAATATTCACCACTAAATCTTCCTCTTTCTTCTTATGTCTTTCCTTTTCCTGAATGTTGTTTGTTTACTCTCTCCACAAGCTTACTTTCAAATGGTTTCAACCTCATTTCTCTTTCTTAAAGCCAGAGATTTTTAACTTGCAGTTTTTAGAACCTAAGAATTACTTGAATCAGCCACAAAAAAGCCACTGAAACCCCTGAAATTGTTTATAAAAGTTTTTGAAAATTGGCACACGTCCATTTTTCTAGTGAGAGAGATTATAACTTTATATTTTCTGAAGGAGTATAAGACCTCCTTAGTTTAAGGACTACCACTTCAACAGTCAAATAAGTACATTTAAAATACATTAACTAAAAATTATTTGTTGTGCCCTTTCTCTGGGCCAATAGGCTATAAATCAGTGCTTTTAAAATGTTAATGTGCATACTCAGCACCTGAAGATCTTGTAAAAAAAAACGCACCCTCTGATTCAGTATGTTTGGGTGCCCAAGATTCTACATTTCTAACAAGCTCCCACGGGTCCCTGATGTTTCTGCTTTCCAAGTGCATACGTTAAAGAGGAAGTCTTAAAGATGCAACAAACAAACAAACAAAAACAAACAAACAAACAAATACATGAAACAGTGGTCTTTATCCTTAAGGAGCTTACCATTTATAAGAGGAAACACTTTTTTGGTATATATACTCTACTTAACACTTATAATGATGTATCTTTAGCACTTAACCTGACATACCAGACAGTAGTTTGGTGAATCAATGATGTCTCAAACAAATAAATATTTATTAATGTGAATATAAATTAAACATTAACTTGTATATAAATGGTAGATAGAGATTAATGTAGGTTTTTCTTATTTTTTTCTTATTTCCTGATTTGAAAAAATCCATGCATTACACTTTTATTTTGTTCTAAATAAAGAGAGTAAATATGAAATTAAGTAACTTTTTATTTATATATTTTTTTTGCTATGATAAACTGACTAGTGTAACGAAAAAACTCCAACATTTCAGCGGATTAACAAGAAAAAGGTTATTACTCATTCAGATCGGAGTCCAGGGCCCAATGGGCTTGGTGGAGAAGATGGGATCTGTTCCGTTGAGGTGATTTAGGAATGTGGGTTTTTTCCATGTTGTGATGTGACCATCTTCAGATCTCGACCCCCAAAAGTCTTATAGACAGGGACGAACAAGGAGCAGCCCCTGAAAGGGGTCTCAGAAATAGTGGTGTGCCCAGGACAAAGAGAAGACCCAGGGTGTCAGAGAACACTAGCGATCTCTGCTGTCTTGTTTTTGATGCAACCGACTGGTAACCTTGATAGAAAATAAATATATATATACATTTTTTTTGCCTAATTGGAGGAACTTTAGTGAGTACATCAGTCTGTTTCCTCTGCCAGGAAGGGCCTTGTCTGTCCTTGCTGCCCACAGTCTCTCCAGATTACAGCATAGCGAGTCTCCTGGTGAGCAGTGCTCACTGCAGGTTTGGAACCCCTTAAAGAAACAGATCTAGCTGCCTTCAGAGAAGGTGCACGAAACTTGAATCTACAGAGATTATAAAGTATTGAGATAGTCTCACGTAGTCTAGTTAATGTCTTACATGGTCTCTAATAAATAAGAGACAAACCTCTAGGGTTACTTGCGTAGATCTGAGTATTACCACCTAATCCCACACCCCCATCAGCCAATAAATAGAGGAGCGCAACCCCAGTTAAATGTAACTAATTTTCTTGAATATTAATCCAGATTAAGGGCCAAACTTTTCTTACTATTCAACTTTATTTTTCTCTCTGCCCAGTTTCGAAGATTCGTTTTACAGCTCCTATGTTTCCGACCGCTGAGGTGCCGGAGGCCTGATACGGACCTACCAGCAGGTGGGAGTGAAATGCAGATCAGACCCATTGTGATGTCACAGAAAGACGGGGACAGACCCAAGAAAAAAGTGACTTTTAACTCTTCCTCCATCATTTTTGTCATTACCAGTGATGAATCACTATCGGTTGATGACAGCGACAAAATCAATGGGTCTAAGGCTGATGGGATCCAAGTGCGACCTTTATAAGAATAAATAATGGTAATGAAAGAAAGGTACTTAAACTGAACGCCACGTTTAGGTGTTATAAGGACTACTTAGAAATCCCCATTCTGTGTAATATCAACAACTTTTGTGACCCAGCAGGAAATCCCAATTGCCCATTATGTTCTCAAGCCTCTGGAAGCAATTGAGCAAGTCGATTTATTATGATTCATTGGGTGCTTTACACAGTGAAAGACCACTCATGGCACATGATGGGTATCTGGCACCGTCAATTTCTAACATGTTAGAAATTTTCATTTCAAATATATTTTTTAAATGACTGTATTTTCCAAGGCACATAATACATTTTTCTCAAATATAAGTAGCTGTAAAAATAACTTTGTCTTATACACAGGTGTGAAATAGCTAGAAAATTTTAAATTTTCTTTAATGTTGGGTTCTACTCATCCCATCTAATGTTTGACCAATCAAATTGATCATAGACGATTCTAGGATGAGAAAGAAAATCAACCCCCTAACTTTCTGAAACACAAGACTATTGCTATATGTTAGTATGATAAAGAGGAGCTTCAGACAAATGTCCTACTCAGCAAGCTCTAGAAGATACTATCAAAAAGGAACATGGCAAAGAAAACAGGATGGTGAGTTTCAAGTAATCATGGTGTGTAGGCAATCATACATTGGTAGAAGACATACATGCTAACCGTGTGGATGGCAGATGGATATCTCCGTCTATATCATTTCAAACATGAACATGGTAGAATTATCCTCTCCTTTTAATAATTTCCCACAATTTTGCCAAGGATTCAGGATTTAGTTAAGGAGTTCCAACAAAATATTGGACCTACATTGGAAGGGGGATAAAAGTAAGTGTAGAACTGTATGCATAAAATGTATTATTTAGTCTTTATTACTCTTTGATCAGTACACTAGATAATTACTAGTCAGTGTAAGTGTAGAGGTCATTTTCCAGGAGTCATTGTTTAGACTAGAATTCAAGGATTTCTTTGACAATATAGAAAAACAGTAAATCATTTCATTGTGTCATCTAGTTTTTATTTCTTAGATGACTGTCCTACTACGGTTGCATCTTCATAATTAATCATGTTTGAAAGACTTCTAAATGATTCAGTCAGCCTATTGAAGGAGAAACCAAAGAGAACATTTTTACTAAGTGAACGTTTAAAAATCAAGTTCATTTCCGGTTCTGCCACGGCATGTAGTTCAAGTATAAGTTAGTAAATTGCTTCGAATTGTTGGAAATAGAATAAAATTTGGCTTCATATTTTTACAATAATTATCTCCCTTTGTTTCCTTTCTACTCTCATATATGTAGATATTTAATTTAGAAGTACAAACCTTCCTGCACTTCACTTAGTATGGCGTTAATAACCTTTTCTCAATTCGGAAGGCAATACTGGCATTTTAAGACTAGGAAATAAAATTGACTCATTTCGAACTCTCTAGAAAGCCCCCAAATTCTTCATTTACACTTCTAGTTTTATCAAGTGAGTTTGAACCCTCTGCCTGTATAAGTTCCACCCAGGTGATGAAAAGTGAAGTTAACATGTTAGGCAAATTGTATTATTTAGTCCCAGGGTTGCATCAATCCTATCGTGACCTCTATTATGTTTTCTTTTAAAGGAAAAGTTGTCAGTTTTTCTCGAAGCCTCTAGGGTAACCTTACTTTTTAAGTGAAAGAGGTATCACTTTAAAGGACCCAACTTAAGGGTTGTGCTGTGGGGAAGCTGTGTGTTGCGACTTAAAGTGGTGGGCTTTTTTTTTTTTTTTTTTTAAATAATTACAGTGAACACACAGAATAATTCTACGTTCAATTTAAGTATAAGCTGACAAATGTCTTCCATTAGTGAAATAAATATTATGATGTGAAACATTATTGTCATCCTTAGTTTTGGTTGCAGAAAAATCAAGTATATTTTCTACTTTAAGGACCTTTTTATCCCCAGCTAATGACTTTGAGGGTTTGTTCTAGTGACTCCAAAGGGTTTGCAGGGAAGCACGTCCTGTGTTCTGGAAGTTAGCGACCCAGTCCCATGGTCTTCTCAAGTAGTCCAGGGGTCTCGGTGGCATGGAGCGTATAAGTAGGTAGGTACTACCGATGGCTATCAGTGTTCCAAAGAAAAATAATCCTTTTTTTACCACCTGTTAAGACAGCAAGAACTCGCATGTTATTTGTGTAAAGATTAACATCTTGAAATAGACCTCATTCTTAAATAATCAAAAAGTACACATTTTTCTCTGTGTTCTGTAACTTGAAACAGCAATTTCATGTCATACCACTAGGTAGTCTTGTAACAGCTCATACGGTCAACAATTTGGAGTTCTCTCCCTGTTTTCTCCCTCCTTTTCTTTTCAGAAACACCTGAATCCACATGTTCTGTATAAGGGATTCTTAACAGTCAACCTTTGTACAGCCATTAAAAAATAAAGAACCCACCATTTAGAAAAAGAACTCTGAACTCTGTCTTAGAAGATCACTGTGTCAAAGCCACAAATAATCCAGTAACTGCTCAGATCTTGTACAACTTGTCCCTGAGAAGCATGATGGGCCCCATGGCCCCTGTGACTCAGAAGACACATACACTCGAAGAGATTGAACACAGCATCTTTACCACCCATATATGTCAACAACACATGGCCCATTCTAGTCTGGGTTAGGTCCACTGCCATAATATCCTGGCCTCTGTCACTGCACTTATTGTCCTGCATTCTAACTACCTGTCATTTTCTATTTCCCCTGTTAGACTTTGGCTCCTTGAGGGGAGAGACCTTATTTTATTCATCTTTGAGTGATTAAATTTTGATTCCTCCCAATTCATTCTCCACAAAGCAATCATTCTAAAATCTGCATCTGAGTTCATTAGCCTCCTTCATCTCCCTGTTTCCCTCAAGCTAATATTGACTATGTTTGTATTAACCATTTTAACGTGCGTGCAGTGGTAACTCACTGTGGTTTTGATTTGCATTTCCCTGATGATGAGTGATGTTGAGCACTTTTTCATGTGCCCATTGGGCTTCCGTGTTTCCTTTGGAAAAATGTGTTTCAGATTCTCTGCCCAATTTTTAATTGGATTGTTTATTTGTTTTCGCTATTGTTTAAGTGAAAGAGGTATCACTTTAAAGGACCAATTTTTAATTGGATTGTTTATTTGTTTATTTGGGTTGTATGAGTTCTTTATATATTTTCACTATCAAACCCTTATCAGTTATATGATTTACAAATATTTTTTCCCATTTAGTAGGTTGTCTTTTCATATTGTTGATAGTTTATACTTTGCTGTGCAGAAGTTCTCCATTTAGATGTAGTCTTGCTTTGTTTGCTTTCACTTTTGGTGTCATTTCCAAAAAAAAAATATATCACCTAAGTGTCCATCAATGGATAAATGAATACAGAAAATGTATAAAGACACACACACACACACACACACACACACACACACACACACACACTAGAATATTATTCAGCCATAAAAAGAGGGAAAGCCTGCTATCTGCAAGACATGGATGGAACTTGAGGGCTTTATTCTAAGTGAAATAAGACAGAGAAAGGCAAATACTGAATACTCTCACTTATATGTGGAACATAAACAAACAAACAAACAAATAAACAAACCCCAAACTTACAATTACAGAGGACAGATTAGGGATTGCCAGAGGCAGGTGGTGGGGTGGGCAAAACATATGAAGGTAATCAAAAGGTACAAACTTCCAGTTATGAAATCAATGAGTTCTGCGGTGTAATGTACAGCCTGGTGAGCATAGTTAATAACACTGTGTTGTGTATTTGAAAGTTAATAACAGAGTAGATCTTAAAAGTTCTCATCAGAAGAAAAAAGTAATTTTATAACTATGTATCATGATAGATGTTAACTCGACTTACTATGGGGATCATTTTGCAAATATACACAAATATTGAATTATTATGTTATACATCTAAAACTAATATAATGTTATATGTCAATCACTTAAAAAAACAAACAAACAAAAAACAGTGTTTAAGACCCTGCATACCATTCCAACTCTACCTCTAGCCATCCTCATATATATGGGCTGCCTTCTGGCACCGCTGAAATACCTGCCATTCCAACTCTGGACATGTGAGAGGTTTCCTCAGCTTACAGGCTTCCCGGCCCGTCCTGCTCTCTACCCAGAGCAGCTTATGCCTCTCCCCTGCAATCGTCCATCTCCCCTACTAGTCTCTGAACTATGTGAACAGTGGGAAGTACTTGTGGTTCCTCACCAGGCTCAGCTCAGGCTCTGCAAACTAAAAGAAACTATTCGTTGAATGAATTAAGTTGTAAAATTTCCAAAGGGGAGGATCAGGGATCTGAATGTTTATTTGCCGGCATCTCTGAGTCGACTGACCCCAGTCGATATAGCATTACACTGGAATTAGATTCTACTTCATAAGTGATTCAATATGGTTTGTAGTTTTACAAATTAAATCAAGAGTATTACATGAAGCAAAAGTAAATTGCTAAATAAAAGTCAAAAAGTCACATTGCTAAAATAAAGTAAAAAGTTTAGAAATATTAGCGTCGATTTTTTTATTTGAATATTTTTTTCTTCGAAAGCTCTCACTTTCTCTTTTTGCCCCTTCTTTGTAGTTTTCCTCATTAGGCACTCTACCTTCTGTGTACCCAGGACGTATTTTATTTGAAAGACAAATATTTTGTATCATTACATCATTTCTGTACTTGTCTGAAGTAGACATAACCATTACACTGTGATTAAACACATAAGATTAAAAAAAAGTTTAGTCTGTCCTAACCTTTTTTTGCCAATACCATTGCAGCAGTGCCTCATGGTATCTTATTCTGGAAAACGAGACCTGTAAGAAAGTTTTAAAAGTATTCTGTGTATTTTTTAGTGGCTAAACAGAAGATTAAAATAAAGAAATGCCTTAAATTCAGACCTTACCATGGTATAGAGAGGGATGAAGGTAGATGGCATAATAGCGTGAAGCAATCTCTCTATGTTCTTTTGGAAGAGGAACAATGGTGAGTTGACGTGTGCTCGCATCTGCAATAATGTAAGAGTTTTAAAGGATGCTTTGAAAAAAGTACCTTTATTTCTTTACTACAACTTACAAATGCTCTTTATTTTTATTCAGCACAAAGCTGGACACAAAATAGTCAAATAAAATCTCATTCCCAGTCCCTTTTAGTAAATGTCAATAGTATAAGACATTACCTTGAAAAGGTAGAGCAATTATGAAAACATGCTGGAGAACTCTATTTTGCTCAGGGGTCAATAAGGGAACTCAACTGCATCAAAAGTTTTGTTCGGCTAGAACTGCGGGTACTCTGTGAGCCCAAATATTTGACTAATTTCTGTTGCTTCCTGGTTCATTTGGAATATTTTTTATGGCAAGAAGGGATCTGCTGAAAACTATGTTTGTCTTGATCTATTCCATATTTAGGACAAATATTGGGGTTAGCTGTCTTGTTTTTAAAGACACAAAGAAGATACATCAGTGAGCTTTTTGGTATCTTATAGAACTTCCTGCGCCACATATAAAACCATTCTGTTCAAGGTGAAGTCCACTTTAGTACTTTCTGTCTTCAGAAGAGATGAAAAAACAGCTACACTCTCTTCTTTAAATTTATCTTGTAAATTTTTTTATTTGATTATTTTAAAACTAAAACCACAACCATTTATTGTGAACTTTTCATATGACTGGCTCAAAATTGAATTGTGTTTTCCTTCAGATTATTAATCTAACCACGAATATCTTCAGTATTACATATTTTTTTTCATTGCATAATGCCTCAAAGGATATTCAATGCTACTCTAAGTTTTCAGCTTATAATGTTAAGAGCAGAAACACCATTTAACATTTCTTAGATTTTCCAAATACGTTAACACATATCAAAGTTATATTTTCATTAAAATGGTGTATTATTAACTCTACTAAACATATAAGACTTGAGCCTGTGAATGTGAATTATCAGAGATTGAAATCAGGCATTTTGTCATCTTTATTACCTACTACATGTCATTGAAATGTCGTTGGAGATGATGTGTATGGGTCATTGTCACTGTCTACATAGTCACAATCCACCTGTGTGTAAAGACCACTGTGTATGTGTGTGCATGTGTGTATGCGTGTGTCCTTTTAGTACCTATTCTTTGCAGCATGCACGAAATGAGGCTAGAACAAAGAAAGATTTTTTAAAAGAATGTTCATTAGAATATCAGTAAATGATCAGTTGAAATAGAGCCAAACCTTCTCACTCACCTCTATATAGTTGTACATGGATAGTTCTGAAATCGCATGGTCATCGGGAATTCTAACTCTTGAGAATTCAGGAAGACATATACCTAAAAACCAAGTTAAATAATACATCTTTTCCAAAAACAGTTTATAAAAATGTGCTGTACTCTACACAGGTAAAATTAAATAATGTAGTCTCTACCAATGATCTCTGTAACTTTTCAAAACTGTGGATAACCAGTCTGGATGACCAACAATCTGTGAATACTGAGCAATAACACATAGGTGTTTCCTACTGTGATTAAGTAAAACATGGTAAAATCAGTATACTATATACTGGTTGATTAGTCAATCACGATTTTCCTCATTTCACAAATGGAAAACAGTTCATATAAATGACTGTGAATGACTCTCCTGTAGTCCCGCCTAGAATTTGCTATTCCCCTTTATATTCTCCCATGCTCCCCCCTGCACGGTTATTTCGCTGCACCTAAGATACCTTATTAGCTTAAACAACAGTTCCCCCATTATTCTGTGATCTCCCAGAGTCAGGCCCCATGTTACATTCATGTTTGAGATTTTAAGCCGGCATATGGTAAATAGTGAATAAATATCCAATAAATTAATTACTAACTAATATAACTTTCACATGGCCAAACAACTCTCATTATTAAGGAAGCCATTTCTAAAGTCAGAGAACCTTGGTACAAGTCCCGGCTTCACCACTTCCTAGCTATATGACTGTGGCCCGTTCCTTATCCTTCTCCAAGATTAAATTTCCTCATTTGTAAAATAGAGACAAGAACAGTACCTATGCCTCATGTATTCCATGAGGACCAAATGAGATAACGCACTTAAAAAAATCAGCAAGATACCCAACACTTATGAAATATTCAGTGATATTAGTTATGATTATTACTGTCATATTATTACTATTTTATCTTTGCTCCCTAGTAACCAAAACCAATATTGACAGTATATTCTGATATGTGAACCGTCCATCTACCTCCAACATCATTATCACATGAAACCAATCACATGAGGGCTAAGAAGAGAGGAAACAAATGCCTCTGGACCTCGAGCATCTGAGTGATATGACTGGGAAAGAAAGGAAGAAAGCCAGAAGCAATTTGCCTCAGAACCTATAATATTTTCTGATTTACAGAACACTACAGTGTCCAATGGTTTCCTACGATACTATCACAAACACCTACTATGAACCGACTTTGGGCCAGGCATTGAAAAACAAAGCTTCAGCCAAATTATTTTATTTACTCTTCACAACAACTCCCTGAATTGGTGTTATTATCCCTACTTTATAGATGGAAAAAACAAAAACCTTGAGACTTAAAGATCTGGGTGGAGGTTTAGAGCCAGTTTTCTAAAGCAGATTTAAATTCAGAGGTAGCCTTTGAGAACATGTGATGCCAAGGAGTTGTAAAAGCTATCTAGTTCTTAGGCAATTTCTTTTACAGATGAAAATTGCATACATTTAATTTAATATAATTTCAAAATGACATATAAAAATTTTAAACTTCAATATTTGTAAAATTAACATATTGGCCGAATCGATTTGAATCAAAGGCAAATGGATGTATCAAATGCAATCTTTGATAAGGCAGAGAGCGAGGAAGCCCTGGCACATCTACCAGTGTTTCTGTGGGCATGGCGGAGGGATGCAGGGAGGGTGATACTCAGGTTGCAGGGAGAGAAAAGCGTGTATCTCTGGCCTTGGAACTTTCATCTTTGTGTGGCCCACTGCATAGACCTCCATGTACAAACCTTGAAAGAAACTATGTTTCCCTCTCTGGGGGCTCTTTGTCTGATATAGGAGAAAACAGAGGTAGAGGATCTTAACAGAAACGTTGATAATCCTGAAATATGGTCAATAATTAATCAGCAGGGCTAGTGCATGTCCATTTGAGAAATTTTACTTACTAAGGTCATTATTGAATTTATCCATTAACTCATCAAATACCAAGCAGTCTTCAAAGCCCTGAAGTAAGAAAAAATGAGAAGAAATGAACTAGAAATAGTAGAAGCTTCTTAGCAATCTTGAACAGCCTTTCCATTGGTGGGTATAATTCATAGGATGTATACCTTCAATCTGAATACAACTGGGTGACAATGAATTATTAACCATAAAAGACTACCAACTGCATGCTTGATGATTTTCTCTTTGCCCAATTC